AGACCCGCATGCGCTAGAAACGCAGAAAGCGGGAGAGAGTGACGAGGACAAGTGTATGGCAGTGGAGGTGAACAAGAAGGATGCGAAGGAGGCCCCTGAGACAATGCCGGGCTACATCGCACCAGTGGGAGATGGAGAAGGGGAAGGCCGTGCTGATGTGGAGACTGCCCAAGATGATATTATGGAGGAGCACTGCCAAGAAGCACCTGGGGATGATGTGGTACTTATGCAAAGGCCAGTCGTGCAGGACTTCGAACAAGTGCTGCAGAGCCTCCTCAAGGCCATGGACGAGATGACAGGTCCTAAGGCGGCCCGGTTGAGTGCTTTCCATCCGGCAAATCCCACGTTGGTGGACCGGTTTGAGCGCCTCAGTGCACTAATGGCGGCCGTTGAAAGTGATCCTCCTGATCTTAGAGGTGACGAAACACAATGGTGTTTGGATGCCGGGCAAAATGTCCAACCTTTCCTTGAGGATGCTGCTCTGCTGGGCGGGGACAGACCGGAAGACAAGCCAAAGCCGAGCCAGGCGGTCCCAAGAGATCGTTGTGGTGGATAGCCAGGAGCAGATCATGGAGAATGGAGGCCATAAGCAAATGGTGCAATTGGAGAATGGGACACAAAGGGAACTGTCGGAAGCGGAAAAGGAAGAGATGCTGGAAAATGAGGTCCTCGAAGAGATGGCAGCGGAAACGTTACGCCAAGAAGAGCAACAGATGTGGGAAGATTTTCATGCAGCAGAGTTTCGATCGTGGGAGACGTGGGCGGCAGTGCAAGATGATTTTCTGCATGGGAGGAAGAAACGTGCTAGAGTTCAAGTACTGGTGCAGGGAGAGGGTGGAAGAATCATTCGCAGAGAAAATTGGCTCTTCGGACTCCAGGAGGGCGAACGGTTTTCTACAGTGTCAGTGTCCTCCAGAACGTTGATGTCGAGGATGAGGACAGGCCTGACCCCATGGCCGCGGCCTCTGGTGAACATGGAGATCCTGATGGTGCGGAACGAGTACGGGAAGTAGCCGAAGTTGATGAAACTGGAGCGGAAGAATGCGGAGAGCTTGAAGGCTGCTACTGATATGCTGCCCATCACCGGAAAGAAACCAGCTGAACTGTGGGATGATGTGGATACTTCGAAGCCGGTCGTAGTGAGTGAGGTGGCGGCCTTCATGGGCACAGAGGGTGGCAAGGAGGCGTACGACCTATGGAAGAAGGGCAAGCTGACTGACAGGCACATTGGCGGCAAGTTCGGCTATGGTGTCCTTGATGGATTCTACAGTCAAAGACACTGGGACAATGGGGTCTTCGACAGTGCCCAGGCAGACGAAGCCGAGCTTGGTGACGTTCGTGATGGTAATGGTTTTGCGACTGCTGGAGCCGAGCGTGAACAACCAGAAGGTTGTACAAGAAGGGATGGCTCCTGCTTGTGATGGCCCTGGAACCTGCTGTGGCGTCGTCGTTGGCGGGCGCTGCCGCTGAACCTGACCCTGCGGTTACGGGGAGTCCGACAGGTACGAGCCCTCCTGAACCCAGTGAAGCGAGTGAAGTTAGGAGCTCAGGGATCCTCACGGGAAGTAGGCAAACTAGCCTCTCACATTGGCTTCTTTGAGCTGTGTTTGCCTGTAGGGAAGATTTCTGCCAGAGAGCTATCGGTGGGAGATGGATGAGCCTGTAAGGCTGCTCGTCTAGTGCTGAAGCTCGGGAGTGATGCAGCTAGGGAGGTTGGCCCAGGACCGTGCCAGAATGGCATCTTTAAGGATACAAGCCTTGGAGAAAAGGTCCCGCAAAAAAAAACCTGAAACCGTAAAACCTGAACCTAAACGCTAAACCCCGAACCCTAAACTCCAAATCCTAAACGCGAAACCCTAAACCCTTAAACCCTGAAACCGTAAAAGCTGAACCTAAACCCTAAACCCCTAAACCGTAAACCCCTAAACCCCTAAACCCTGCATGCATGCAGGAGTTTGCAGTGGATGCAGATTCGAGGAGTGTGCACTGGATGCAAAAAGAGTGCGCACTGGATGCTGATTTCGGAGTGCGTGCTGGATGCAAATTGGAGTGCGCACTGGATCACCCTCCCGGCTTGTTGGGGCTCGGGCCTGTCTGGCCTTGTCTGGGACTGCGTGCGTGAGCAATTTTTTCTGCCTTGTGTCTGTGATTGGCATGCAAGGCAGGTTGCAATCTTGTTGGGGAGCTAGTGATGGAAAAGAGCGAGGAAGTGATTGCCTTGCAGACCTGCGATGACACATGTTGAAAAGTTTTTGACAAGGTCCGACTCGATTGCTGCTGCTGCCGCAGCAGAGGAGGCAGCTGGTTTGGAATGATGCCGCAAGTTGCTCGGCGCCAACACTTGCTGAATGCAGGATGGCGGTGTGCCTGCCATGGATGAGGCAGACTGGCATGTGTTTTTGGACAGTCTTGAAGGCCAATTGGTGGCACGTCATGGATGCTGTGTGTTGCTGGTTGTTTATCGTGGTTACACAGAGAACCTGGCATTTGTACGATTTGCAGACTCAAGGCATTTCGGGGCTTGAATTTCGAATGTGCTGCATCTACTGGGGGGCATCTTGTGGACTGGACCTGATTCCACAATGTTTCTTAGACGTGCAACAGGTTGTTGCATTTGGAAGCCGAGATGCGTGGAGATCACTCCTGACGCAGTCTGGACCTGGACATCTAGCACGCTCTTACAAGAACGCATGATGCCTTGGCAAGGAACCACATTTGGTATCTACTGTCCGAAGGCCGCTCCCTGCATGCTGGAATCTTAGTTGAATCCGCAGCAGTTCAACATGACAAACGCTTTGCATTCCTGCGTTGCTTGGCGTGCGAGGTGTTGCTGCTGAGCCAGTCGCCGGTACGAGTTGTTACGAATCTGCTCATTTTCGAGAACCGCACCAAGGATGGGTTGCATGTCATTCTTCTCAACGACTTGACACATTGGATGCACTTTCCACGAATCAAATCTCTGTTTTGAGAGCAAGAGAAGTGTTGCCATGTGGATCTTTGGCGTGTAGGCTGCGGCTCTCTGTGCATTGAACGGTTGGGATCCGAAGCAGCCTGCCGGCACATTGGAGCAAGTTGCACGATTACAAGTGCAGAGTTTGTTTTTGAAGGCAGTTGCCATTGCAATCGCCTCAGTTGGCTGCCCATTTGTTGTGGCATACTTTATCCGGGGCAACCCAGGCTGACTCTTTTTCTGGGTCTGCGCTTCAGAGAACTGGATGAGCTTCAGCCTTAGCAGGCAGTGTCTGTGCGGGCCATGAGCTAAGAGACTCAACGAGGATTCGACAAAGCCTCGGCCTGTTGCGGCCGGATCAGGACCTTTGCTGCTGGTAGCTCTGTACTGAAGAGCCTGCCAAGAGACGCAGAAGAGATCTCTCAGCGTTTGATGAGATAAGTTCTCCTAAAATGCACCAAGCTGGTAGATCTTTGCAACGCCTGTGTGTGCTTGGGTCATGTTTTGGTAGTCAGGGCTCTTGTGGAAAACAACTGCCATTCAGCACGCTCTAAGAACAGCCGGAGTGGTTTGGGGGCAGCGCAAGGAAATGCAAGGCTGTCAAATGGCCTGGGCCTTGGCAGTTCAGAGATGTATGCCTGGTAACTGGTGATCAACTGTTCCAAGGTCATGGATTTCATTCACTCAGGATACTCCTGTGCAACCATGGTTGGCATCCCACTTGGCAATCGGCAACAGCCGATCTATTTGTTGGTTGGGCCAGGTGCCATCCTTCTCGCCGCCTCAGCCGGAAAAAACGTCTACAGCCGTGCCAAAGCTGACAGAATTGCCGGCGGTAGCAACGAGCCCAGCATGTCATTCAGCCCCAGACTCCTGCCTTGGCTGTCCCGCGAAATTCGCAGCTTGGCTGGGCCTAGGCTGATGTACCGCCTCTTCGGCACGATTTCGAGTGTCTGAATGCGAATTTCCATGGCAAGCGTTTGACATTGCCGCCGCGCCAGGCAGCTGCCCTCGGATCGAAGTTTTGTTTCCCGATTGCTGGCAGCTTTCCCAGCAAACTTGAGTCAAGCAGGTTCCTGCTGTTTAGTCTGAGAGTTGCATTGTCGGAGCGCTCAGGAACAGGCAATGCAGTTCGTCACACGCTTGGTGCCTTGGCTTAGCATGTTCAACTCCTCTCAGCTTGTACTTGTACCGGTGCAAACCTCCATGTGCAGAGACTTGGAATGGTCGCAAGCTGGCTCGAGTGTTAGTTCCCGGTAATGTCTTGCCTTTGGCCATGATCGGTGAAGTTGCGCCTTTCGAGCTGGCAGAGGCTGGGAGACAAGCTGCTCGTTGTTTCTTGTAGACATGTGCCTTGCCCAAAGAACTCAGCAAACGATCCGGGTTGCCTCAGGGTTGGATGTACGGAGGTTTGTGATGCACACGCTCTTTGGCGCCGCTCCTTCACAGGGCTCATGCTGGAATTAGCAAAATCAAGATGCATGACGGGATCAGTGCCAGCTGAATGTATTTGCATCGATCAGGAAACTGTGGAGTTATTGTGAGCTTTCATGAGACATGTTTAATGCGTGGGCAATCGGGAAAACAGCCGCCCAGTGACAGGGCTGTTGGAGACTTCAACCTGCAGAGTTTTCTATGGCTCACGCAGTCACGCAGTCCTAGATAACTTGCACAAGCCATAAATGCAAAGTTGCAGCTAAGCTTCGCTCAGACTAGTCGCATGTGGCTTTGGCCATGGTACTTGACTGCTTGTTTGCTCGTGGCAGCGCAGCGCTCCGAGAGTCAGGACACTGTGAAGTTGACGGCAACCCCTAAAGTTCAGCATGGTAGGCTCACGAGGGTACCCTGACGACCTAACACTGTCTTGTATGTGTTTGGACATGATAGTGCGGGCATCTTCGCCGGCATCAGCGTCTACAGGACTGCGCAGCTGACTGTGATGCGACCAGCGGGCGCCAACACGCGGCTGCTTTGATCAACAAGTCAGGGAGAGCAGCTAGCCAACTTTCAAAGCCGGAAGGGCATCGCTTTGCCACCTTCACTTTTCCAGGTCGAGAACTTCGACTTCTCCCGCGTTAGTTTTGCTCAGCCGGTAGCAGAAGGAGGCGACTTCGAGGATGCTTTTTATCCGGCTGCTTGCACACAACTTTGGGCGAAGATATGGCGTTGCATTTACAAAGGGTGCTGCTGCCAAGCTTGCACTCAGGATGTAACCGCCGAGGATGACAGGTCTGAGAGTTCAGATGCAGCTTGGCAGGATTCAGAGACAGAGAGAGAGAGTAGGTGTTTTACCAGTGTTGGGGTGTACCGCACGAGGGGTAGTTTTGGAACCGAGAAGCCCAACAAGGGCTGGGCAGGCGCCCGGGCTGCTCCCCCTGGAGCAGTCCATAGCCCGCATGAAAGAAAGAAAGAAAGAGTAGGTGTCAGGTCATCCGGACTGTTTGAGGCCATGGGAGAGGACAGTCCCGCCTGCCAGGCTGCAGATTCAGATGGTGAAGATCCAGGTCCCAACGAATCTTGTTGCGGTTCGCAAAGCGATGCTTCCTTGAGATTGTGTTCCACCCTCAGCAGCCTTCATAGCTCCTGGAGCAACACAGGTCTCAGCTCCCTAGCCCAAGGTGCGAACAAAACTTCCCCTTTGGCTACACGTTCGAAGGGGACTCCGCCGCGGCTTGACGCAGACGCTTGGAAACGGTGTTGCCTCAAAGTATTTGGTATGATTCCAGGCTGATGTTGGCCATCTCTCATGCGCCAAGAAAGCTTCGAAATGGATCTTTGACAGCGGCTGTCAATGCAATGTGGTGCGCCGAGCAAGGACACTGTGAAAGGAGGAACAGGCGTAGCACCATCCATGGATACACCTTGAGGATACCCATTTGTTTTGGACCAGCGCAACGTGCACCCAGCCGAGAGCAAGTCCCAGGCTTTGGACTTACTAGACAGCGTTGTCCTGAAAGCATTTTGAGCAGCGAGTAACATTTCCATAACACGTCATCCAGACATGCATCACTGTATGGCTACTTTGTTGTGATGATTATCGTGATTTTTCTTGTTCTTCTTCTTAACATATATTAGTATTGTTACGATGATTGTTACCATTCTTCTTGTTACCAAAACTACTATGATTATTACTGCTATTAATATTAGTATTTGTCTCCTCACTATTGTAGTTAACTACTACCAAAATAGTGGCGGTCATGATCATGATGGTTTACTATAAGACACAATAGTATCATCATTATTGGCATGATTATTTGTATGGTATTATCATTTCTAGTATTATCATTATGATTATCTGTATGCTTATGACTACCGTTGTCGGTACTCTGTTTTCTGTATTGTTATTTTTTGCTGTTATGATTTTCCTTATCATTACTCTTAGTGTAGTCATTATCATCACCATCATTACAATTATGTCTATGATTATCTTCATTATTACTATAATCCCTGTTTTCTTACCAGCATTCATTTATTATTGCCAGTACTACGTGCAGAACCTGTGGTGCGCCCACAGGTAACATATACGCTTCAGGGTTCGATCAGGATTGTTCGAGTTTATTGGTTTTTGTTCTGTGTTTATGGCCTTTAGCCTTTAGGGTTTTCACGGTTTAATTCATTTTTTTCAGAGTTTAGGGTTTGCTGGTCTAGTTGTTTTTTGGTTCTGGGCTTTTAAGGTTTACGGTTTTCAGTGTTAGGGGTTCTTGGGGTTCTTGGGGTTCTTGGGATTCTAAGCTTTAGGGTTTTTAGGGTCGAGGGTTTGTGGGCTTCTAGGGTTGTTAGGGTTTCGGGGTGTCAGGGTTTTTAGGTTTAGGGGTTTTAGGGTTTACGGTTTTGAGTCTTGTTAGGGTCAGGGTGTTTGGGGTTGTTAGGACTTAGGATTTTTAGAGTTTTCAGGGTTTAGGCTTCCGGGGTTTTGTGTTGTTAGGGTTAAGAGTTTTTAGGCTGTAGGGTTTGGGGTTCTCAAGGTTTAGTTTAGGGTCTTCAGGGTGTCTAGGGGTTTTTGGGGTTTAGGTTTTTTAGGGCCTAGGCATTTCAGGGTTCAGGGTTTTTAGGGTTTGGCGTTCTTAGCATTTAGAGTTTAGGGTTTTACATGGTTTTGGGGTTGTTAGGGTTAAGGGTTTTTAGGGTTTCTATGGTTTAAGGATTTCAGGGCTTGATTTTAGAGTTTAGGGTAGTTGGGGTTTGTTAGTTTGTTTTTTTTTGGTTTGTAGTTTTTTCAGTTTTTGGGTTTGAGGGCTTTTAGGGTTTATGCTGTACAGGGGTGTTAGGATTAGGGTTAGGGTTGAGGGGTTTTAGGGATTGGAGTTCTTGGGGTTCTAGGCTTCAGGGCTTTCAGGGTGGAGGGTTTTAAGGCTTTGCGGTCTTGAGGGTTGTTTTTTCAGGACCGTGGAAGTTTTAGGGTTTGTAAACATCTTTAAGGTTCAGGGTCTTAGGGTTTAGGGCTTTTAGGGTTTTTTGGGTTGTTAGATTTTTTTCAGGATTTTGGGTTTGCAGGGTTTAGGGCTTTCAGAGTTTAGGTTTCTAGAAGTTTTGAATTGTTAGGATTGTGGGGTCTAGGGCTGTTAGGGTTTTGAGTCATAGGTTTTTAGCGTCTAGAGCTCTTTCGGTTAAGGGTCTCAGGGTATAGCAATTTTAGGGTCTTGCAGCGTTGTTAGGTTTTTTTGGGTTTAGGGTTTCATGGTCTAGGGTCTTGAGGGTTTAGGGTTGTTAGGGTTTAGGGTCTTCAGAGCTTTCAGGGTTTAGGATTTCCAGGGTTTAGGGTTTGTAGGGTTTAGGATTTCATGGTCTAGGGTCTTGAGGATTTAGGATTGTTTGGGTCTAGGGTTCTTAGTGGTTTTTTAGGGTTTAGGGTTTTTAGGGGTTGGGCGTTTTTAGGTCTAGGGTCTTAAGGTTTAGGGTGTTTGGTGTTCAGGCTTTTAGGGTTTTAGGGTGTTTTGGCAGGCTCAGAGCAGTAGCAATCCCGGGCTTCTGCATGTTTGATTGTCTACCTTGCTACTT